GAGCAGGGAGCCCGATGCGGGACTCGATCCAGGGACTCCAGGATCACGACCTGAGCCGAAGGCAGTTGCTTAACCAACTGAGCCACCCAGGCGCCCCTAGATTAATAAAATATTTTAAAATTAATAATATTTGGATTTTAGCCATGTCTTCAGTCGCATTTAAGTTTATTTTTCTTATAGCTGAGTAAAATTAAGTTGATTAACTTGGGTATAGCATGCATAGAATGATCCCATTACAATAAAAGTAGTTCTGTATCTATCTGCAAATATACAGAGAAAGATGTTCATTTGATGTTATTTATGACTGGTGAGATTTGAGGTACTTTTTGAATTTTCTTCTCCTGTACTGTTGAAATTCCTGAAAATGTAAATTATTTTTCCAAAAATACTGAAGTGATTTTTTAGTAAACAAAACAAAACAAACCCAAATCCTCAATTCATTAATTTGACCAGGATAATCAGGATCTGTGTACCAGCTCACACCAACCAGGTTTACAGAGACTGTGAATCAGAATTGCAATACATTAATTAACATACCCAATCCTAGATCTAAGATATGTCATCCAGAGATGACTTTTCCAGGACTATATTTACTCAGGATTCTAAACTACATATTAGAGGGTTGCTTAATAGAAGACCATAGAATTAGAGAAAAGGCAGTAGGTCTGATCTTTTTAGGGAATTTCTTTGAAACTATCATTGGCTAAAGATTTGTCCTTCACTGAAGCAATTATCCTTTGTCAAGAACTGTTTCTCACCCTAAAATCAAGACTCCATCTTCCCATCCTAAATATTTACTATAAGGTACAGTTTCCCAAGATTATGATTGATATTGCTTACACTGGAGGACTTTCCAAATCACAAATGCAAAAAAGTCATTTCTGACAAGATCATCTTCAACTCAAACCTAAATTTAATATCCATGGTAGCTACGATATCAGAAGTTGGCATCTCATATTTATCTCTGCAACCTTGGGTTTATCTCACTAGAGGGTTGTTTGAGCCTTCTGGGTACTGAATACATCCTGTTCGTGAGGAACAAAAAGAGTACATGCAATGTAAGGAAGAAGAGCCTGTGGGGCTTTTTTCTTTTTAAAAATTTAATGAAAAACATAAGTTAAATTCAATCCAAGGTTTATAAAGTGATTAATTATTGTCAGTATATCTCATATCTTTCTTTATTAAAAAGAAATAAACATTCCACTCCTTTCTTGCATTGACTTGGGTTGAACTCTTTCATGGGGGAGTGGGGAGCAGAGATTTTCCACTCCACTAATATAAATGCTGCAGGATGTGTTAGTGTCATAACTTAGAAATTCAACTCAAGATCGGGGGATATTTTTCTCTGGGCAAGGACTGTCTTCCTCTAAATTTTAAGTAACTAAATCATGATGTATCAAATAAATTTAAGTGTTTTTTTTAATTTTTTTTTTATTCTTATGTTAATCCCCATACATTACATCATTAGTTCTAGATGAAGTGTTCCATGATTCATTGTTTGTGC